GATTTTATTTCTGCCTCCTGGAAATTGTTCTTTGAATCTTGCGGAATTTGCTCTTTTGGAAACAGTTCTTCATGTGCGACGTTTTCAGGCCCTTTGGAAAAATTTTATTCATTCTTTTTAATTTCACCTCATCATTGGAAAAAGCACAGAAAGTCTTTCCTAGACAAGATGGAATGCTCATTATGAAGCTCGGGCACAGTAAAGCTAAATTTTGAAAAGTTAACCTCAACTCTGAAGTACTACATGATCCAAAGAAAATGTAGACACGTGAATCAGCCCAGATTTTGTCCTCTGCTAGTGCAATTTTTTCCTTCTGAATTACATTTTTTTCCTGGTGTTGAATTTTAGATGAGGTTAATCAGATACAAACATATTTGCAAATTGCTAGAGTCTGCCTTGAACAATGTACAGTGAAATATCAAGCTTTAAAACTCTTTGAAGATAAGTGCAGAAATTTTGGTGCAGGCTATTTACTATGCAATAACAAAATATTAGGAAATAGACATTTACACAGAAAAAAAGAATCAAATTTTGAAGAAGAGTGCCAGGAAAAACGATGAAAGATGCTGATCTCACATTGCCTGGAGAAATCAAAATAGCAATGTTTAATACTCCAATCATCTTCGCCAAGAACTGGACACTTGTTCTCAAGCAATAGATCAAATGATGTCCTGTTCGCTATCATTCAGCCATTTTTTCTCCTGATATTTCAGAAAAAGTACTTGAGAAGTGGAAATTTTTTGACCTCAGAGGCATGTGTAAGCAGTTCGAATGGATCCCAGAGAAACAAAGGCATGGATAGTACTGCATTTTTTGGAATTTAATGTGAAGTGGAATTTTTATGAATCACTGCCAGACTTATCTTTCTTTCTAATACTTTCCCAAAATATTTGTATATCTTTGGCTATATTTTAAAAAACATTCCTAAATTAAAAGTAATTAAAGTTATTTTTCATCGACGATGCAAGGATTGACAAATCTGGCTATATTTATAGAACATAGATATGCAGAGCAGATCAATTTTGACAAAGTTCTTGACATTTTTAGAAGTTAAGGTTAAAAATAGCAAATATTTTTCATTACTATAACATCAATATGTAGATGTTATTTCCTTTTTTCGAAGACATTAATGTAATGAAATATATGAATCCATTACTTTTTCTTTTTTATATTTATTTTACTAAAATGGCATGATTATTCAAAGTTAAACAAAAGAAAACTTCGAGCGTCTGCATCTTTTTTCTAGCCGTTATCATTATTCATTTGATCTCATTATTAATACTGATATTAATTTTGTCATATAGAAGAAGAGATGTTAAAAAGTGATGCTATCTAGTGTCCATACGCTAAATATACATTTGGCTACAAAGATACATCAGGTAACGATGCTGATGTAAACTCTAACCTGTCAACTCTGGTTGTGTTATCTGCAGACTTCTAGGGCACAACAGAGCTGGCCTTTCTTGTATCATCTTGCAAAGGCCTGTTTGAGGAGAGCTCTTTGTGGGGTTTCCAGCATTTGTTTTCTCAATACTTCTGCCTATTAGAGCACTTTCAAGGCACACAGAAATGTCTTTGTCTCTAAAAATGCATGATAGTAGATGTGCAATGGTTTTAGCAGGTTGTGTTTTGAAAAATATTTCAGGTAATATTTGCCAGAGTTTAGAAATAAGTGTGTGTGTGTTTTTAAGAAAATTACTCTTTTGAAAATCTAGTGATTTTACGACAGCTTTTTGAGTATTTGATTACAGAAAGTTGAGAAGTAATACTCAGTTTATGAACCAATGATTGATTACATTATCATCTGTTTGGTTTCTTCAGAGAAAGAAATTTGAGAAGTAAACTATTTACTTACCAGTCGCACACCTATTAAGCCCTTTAGTTAAGATATTTCTAACTCTTGTCTAAAAAATTCATCCAGCTATCTTTTTTACTTTTTAAGTTAATCCTGCTATTTTAGAAATGAAATCATGAAGCTAAAAAACTCAACTAATGAATTGATTGCTAATAAAACCTTCAACTCTAAAAAAGTTTGGAAATTAAAAAAGTTAAAATTCAAACTGCTCGACTTACACATGTAGATTCTTCTATATGTACACCTTTATTTCACTTTTAGACAGTAATTTACTTTGTTGGACTGTTTAAAATGGTTTTTGTCTTGTAATAAGACAATATATTCACTCTGGATGTAAATATGTGTTACTCAAGGGTCTTTTCAAAAACCTCTTTCAGAGCCCATTATTTTCTGTGAAGTAAAATACCTGTTATAGAAGAAGGCTTCTATGTTGTCTACCAAGACTGCCAGAGGACATGGAGAATTACTGACACTAATCACAGACCCATCAGCCTTTAACCTGTCAAAGAATGCCCAGAGGGAAAGGTGGCTGGTAATTACTGATACTCTTTTGAGGCACTCTCAGGCGGTTTAGGGTTTACTTTGACCTGGATCGTAAAATTGTTACTGCAGGAGTTGGGAGATAGAGAAAATTTGCACAGAAAAGAAAAAACATGTTGGAAGATGTGTTTTATCATTAATATTATTTGTAGTATTAATAAAGAAATTAGTGGTTCTCAAAACTTTTGGAATCAGAACTGTTTTATATTTGTAAAAATTGAGAACCCCAAAGTGATTTTATTTTATGTGAGTAAATTTTAAAACTGAAAATTAAATATTTTAAATCATCATAATAAACCCACAACATGTTACTATATGTTTTATTTAAAAAATAAATGTATTTACAAAGTAAGACATTTAGTGAGAATAATGACATTAATTTACGTTTGCAAATCTCGCTAATGTCTTGCTTCATAGAAGACAGCTGGATTCCCATCAGCTTCTGCATTCAGTCAATTTGAAATATATTGGTTTCGTTGAAACATATGAGGAAAATCTGATCTCACACAGATAAGTAGTTGGAAAGGAGAAGAGTGCTTTGATAGCCTTTTCAGATAATTGTGGATATTCTTTTCTAGTACAAGAAAACTTAACAACTGGTAGTTTCTTAAAGGTTAGCTGCAATGTAGAATCTGAAGATTCTAGTGAACTCTGTTACATTAAAATTTATTGGTATATCTTACACCCTTAATCGAGATTCCATGTGTGATAATATCATATAATGTATTGGTTATTTGAAAAATATTGGTGACCTGAGAGTTCCAAATGTTGAAACATTTCATTATATAATATACCACATTCAGAAGACTTTGATATGTGAGTTCATTTTTTTCAGCATTTTTAGATGTAGACAGTGTGGCTATAGGTTGAGAATGTTGTCTTCTAATTCCATTTTAAGACAACAATTCATTCTTAAATTAGGAAAAAGTATATAACAAATTTTCTTTTAGAATGAGAGGAAATAGTATTAAACTCTAACATGAGTTTCATTAATATTAAAATTTGTTTTTATTTGGAAACTTAAAAATATTATTGTGAGACAAGTTAACAAAAAGTACCAAATCTTTTTGTGTTTCTATGTAGGTTGCAAGGGAAACTTTGGGATTTAAAATAAGAATCTATTGAACAATAACAAAGTTACAGAGATTATAGCAGGAACAACTAGAGATAGCTCTTAAGAGCCCAGTAGAAGTATTGAGAACAGACTGAGTTAATATCTGAAAATAGACCTCATCACACCCTAAACCTCTACTGTAGAAACTGGAACAACCCAGAATACGCAAGCATACTTTCTGTTAGCTGTCAAAACACTGATGTCATCATACATCATGTAGCTTCTGCAGAATTCCGCTGTATACTCAAAAGAGAGTTAAGGTAGATAAGGCAGATGTTTCAGCTTTACTCTGAAAATAGTTTTGAACTCAAGGACCCTTGAAAGGTTCCCAGGGATCCCCTTTGATCCCCTGGTCACACCTAAAAAATTGCTGTTCTAGATGTTTGAATCTGCCATCAAAGTGTTTTAAAAGTTACCTCTGAAAACCACTATGCTTTTTTTACATATTACAACCCTAAAGCAATCGTGGTAATTGGCAAGACCCTTTTCATTCAGGTCTTACTGTGTCTTCTCATAAAGTTAACTCCGATATGTTTTGATAGGTCATAGTGAGGGCAAGGGTAAGAAAGTGGAAGAATGGCAGGTACTTTTTATTATATATAAGTTGATTAATTATTTTAATTAGAGAAGAAATACATAATCTTAGTTCAAAGCTAGGCTTTTTCGGTGTAGAACCATGTTCCTCATTCCTTGGTCCAGTTTGTGGCTGGAAAGAATGAAGATTGGGATAAAAACATCAATCTACTCTATCTAGGGTCTTGCTGTTCATACTTAACTGTGGGAAAACCAGGCTAGACTGTCACAGGGACAAAGGTCTGAGCTTCCTCTTGTGTAGCAGTGATGACATTGGAATGTGTCTCCTACCCCATCTTATGTCTTATGTCTCCAGTTTACCTCTCTAGTTGCATACCGGAGCTCTCCCAAACACTGAGTTTAATGTGTGCGATAATTAGGATTAAATTGCATATTAAACGAAGTGATTTTGCAGTAATGTGCTAATAAGATTGGAAAGTTGTTAAATTATGAAATACCTTGTGCTATATTTCTTTGATTCTAAGGTGCACATTTTGGTATAGTTACCAATAAGGATATGAGAATGTGTTTTTCAATCAAAAATACATCAGTTTAACTGGCGGCAATTCCCCTCGCCACTGCCATTTTTGTGAAATAGTATCAGTTTTAATTTTGAAATGTTATTTTCAAATATTTTTTTGGTTGTAATTACAAATGCTTGTTTCATGAGTAAGACTACAATATATTTTAATCTTAAATGGCTTCTATATTTTTTTAAAAGAACGAAGATATCTGGCAAAAATTGTTATATGTATTTTTTCTGAAATGTGCACTTTCATTCTCAGTGCTTCATAGCAAATAGGAAATTAACGTTAAAGTGTGTTTATGTAAATTGTTCAATTTGCTTTTTTTTTTTTAAAAAAAAAAATCTCTTATGTTTTCAATTTGATTTTCAGTATTTAATTCTGTTCATAACAGGTTTATTTTAGGACAGTGGAACTGATAGAAGAGCCCATACAAGGGTCTCCTGGTCTGAGTTTCTACTTCAAAATTAATGGATTTCCCATATTTCTGAAAGGATCAAATTGGATCCCAGCAGACTCGTTCCAGGATCGAGTAACCTCTGATGTGTAAGTTATCATCTTTCTTCTTCCTTTATTAACAGTCCCACAAAGCTTAAGAGTTACTCATTTTTACTTTCTTTAGTTCCAGTGGAAGGAACCAAGGTGTAATATGGAATTCTAAGATGATGGAAATTTTAGAATGGAAAGGATTTTTAAATCATATATTCCATTCTCATGAGCTGTAGATAGTCTTACAGCTTAACTATTTGAGACTGCTGAAACTATCCAAATTTTAGAAGACAATTATATCTTTTCTCTGGAGGAATAAGAAAATGACTAATGCACATTTTGGATAGTTAGTTCCTGAAGAATAAAAGATGACTAAAGTTGTTTTTTCCCTTAGTTTTTCTAAGTATACCTTAGATATTTTTGTGCATGCTTTTAAAAAAATGGAAACTGCTATTTACCTCTTCATGCTAAGATATTTGCATAGTCCTTTACTTTTACCTTAATAAAAAGAACTAAAAAAACTTTAAAATTCTAGATCTAGAAAAAAATTTCAAGTGTTTTTCTGAAGATTTGAGAATAACACTTTGATAGAAGGTAGTATTTCTGATTGGGTTTGTAAATTACTACCTTGGTGATTGTGAAGATAAACTTTGTGAAGTATAGACACATCTAACTTACTTACAAAAGTATAAATATGCATTGTATATATTATTTGATGTTTAAAATGTAGCTGTGGTTGGTAACTAAACTCTAATTTTGCCAAAACTTATAGTAGTAATTTCGTTTTGATTCAAAATGTATATATTGTTTTGAATTTCTTATGAAAGTGAAATTATTCTTCAGACATAGACACGGATAATTTGTTGTCTCTCTTCCTTTTAAATGCTGTTCTCCTCTCCAGGCTGGTTTTGATGGTGGCTGTTCAGCACAGCTGGGCCAATTAGTGAACCCACCTGTGGGTGCTTTTGCTGAGAGCACGATGCTCTGGGTCCCCGGCCAGCCTGTTACTGGTCTTTTCTGTTCCTTTCAGCGCACTGCTCTAGAGATGGAAGATATGTGCTCTCAAAGTGGCTGTAAAGTTTTAGACTTTCCTGAGGGTAATGTGAATAGGAATTGAAAAAACAAGAAGGAAATTTCCCAGAGAAAGAAGTACCGGACTGGAGTAATTGTAAAAAAAGAAAATAAGAATGAGCTAGGTATTAATATTCAAACTTTGATTTTTGTCTTATAGTTCAAAATGATTATATAACAGTGCATACTTTTCAAGGTTTACGACTGTTTTTCTATAGGAATAACTTTAAGACAAAAGTTTAGTTTTAAAACCAGTATAATAACGTTGCTGAAAATTTAGAAAGCAGAGAAAAATATATCTCCCATAATTTTTCCAGGTTTGTTTATTTTATGTGGTTACAGTTAATGTGTATATAATTTTGTCTCACTTTCTTCACTTAACATTGTAGCCAAATCATCATAATTTTAAAATATGTTTTTCTAACAGAGGTTTGACATGTGTTTATCAGTGTGCTTTTTAAATCTTTTTTTTTTTTTTAACATCCCCAAATTTTCAAATTAGCATTTGTTTTATAAACTTCTCTATAGGTTATGGCTCCTTTTGCAGTCTGTTGTGGATGCTAACATGAATACTCTCCGGGTGTGGGGAGGAGGAATTTATGAACAGGATGAATTCTATGAACTCTGTGATGAGCTAGGAATAATGGTGAGTAGTTGACAGCATTTTATTTCTTGATATGTTGCTATATCATCAGTTCGACCTCCAGTTTTCTGATTGGGTGATATTGCTCATTTCTTCTTTTTTTCAGAGCCAGTAATGATGCTTTATTTTTTTTGCAAAGAAATAAATGGCCTCTTGCAAACCCAGAGCTATAGTTTACAGCACATAACATAATTATTTTTAAGTGATAGACATTCTCTCAATTAGTTATATTTAAGTATATATCTACATTTCCTTTGTAATTTTCTTTGTGATATGGGAGTATGCATAAAAAAGAAAATAAAATATTTAAAACTTTTAACTTTAAGGAGAGATAAGAAGACCTAGAGAGAAGAAAAATAATAAAATTAAATAAAGAAAAAGTATGCTTAATATTATTAAGTACTCCCAACACGTTTTGTGTTGGTGAGGGTTAAGCAAAGGAAACAAATTCTTTTGGTTCTAGTATTATGGTTCTAAAATATAAAGTGATCCATAGGAGAGTAGTGATTATAATAATATTGATGATGCTGATGGTCGTGGTGATTTGACAATAGTCTATAATATTCATCGAGTGCCAGACATTGTTCTCAGTGCTCTGCATCTGTTATTTTATTTCATCTTCATGCCCATTCTGTGAGGTGGTTACTGTTGTTCTATATCCCCATTTTATGGGTAAGGAAACTGACATGTACAGAGATTAAATAACTCGACCACACCCCCACAGGGGGGCTGTGGTGGAATCAAGGTTCTGACTCAGGCCGACTGAGTCGGGGACTATGCTCTTAACCTGACGGCCTCCCTAGGAATGAGCTTGTGTGGTTTCAGTGCTAAAACGTCCATGTAGCAATTTTTTTTGGCCATGAAAAGTTAATTCCTTTATAAACAACATATGTTTCTTAAGAGTCTGGTCCATCTCTCAATACTAAACTCTCGGTGAAAATTAGAGTGAATTAGAAGTGAGGAGGGGCTGAGGAAAGCTTTTTGAATTCCATATTCCATTTAACATGCTCCCTATTTCCTTATTTGAATTCTCCTTTCTTCTCTTTCTTTTCTGCCTACCTAACATTTCTCTTCCCTACAGTTTTGTGCAGTTCTGGTAAGTTATGGGGTCCGTGAGTGCCTTTCCCAGTGCTTTGTGCATAGCAATGCTCAAATGATCATACTTATCAGGCTAACTTATTTTTCATTTGTGTGAGAGATAATCCCCACAGTTCAGAATGAAGCTTTTCTTTCTGTGTAATAGAATCTACGAAAGTACTTTATTGCCTTTTATTTGATTTGCTAGGTATGGCAGGATTTTATGTTTGCCTGTGCCCTTTATCCAACTGATGAGAGCTTCATGGATTCAGTGAGTGCAGAAGTTGCTTACCAGGTACGTTATTATCATTTCAAGAAAGAAAACGCTTAGATTTTAGTTTTGCCTTTTGTTAAATTACTCTTTGTTTCTATTTGTTCTCTTCACTAAATCCCATGAAAAATCATAGTCAGGTAATTGACTTCTGGGTGATTCCACCCAGTCTCATGGCTTTTAACACCACCTGTCAACTCTCAGATTTATCTCCAGTCTTAACTTCTCTGCTGAATTCCTGATTCTTATATCTTGTTGTCAACTTGGTGCTTCTGCTTAGAGGCTTAATAGGAATCCCAAATGTAGCATGCCTAAACCAAACTTATATGACCTTCTCCAAACAGGCTTTTCCTCTCGTTTTCAGCAAATGGCAATGCCAGTCTTTGAATTTCTCAGGTCAAAAATTTAAAGTGATTCTTGACTCATTGATTTCTTTTGCATTCCACATATACATACTTATGTTTATATGTATAGATCAAAAATGTAAGGAAGTTATTATATCCTAGCTCTGTCCACTGAAAAGGGCCAGAAACAATGAACAACCTAGTAATATTGAGCATCTTTATATTGAAATAATCTTTCCCATTAAGAGAAGGGCTTCTTAGAGAAACGGCTGATTCCGGGTCTGCGACAGGAAATATACTAGATCCTAGAGTATTTCGACACACAGATAATAAGAAAAGCTATCAAAGATGTGTCAAAAGAACTTTGATGAGGCTCTGACCGATCAAAAGTGGGACAGTTTGAGGTTCAATAAGGATAGTAATGTCAGTGGATTGAAATCCATTAAATGTGTTAAAATACATGAGTTCATAATTATAGTGTTTGTGGATGCGTATTTGCATGAAAAACTAAAAGAAATGCGAGGAAGTGATTACATATAACACTCGAAATAGTGGTTATTTTGGAAGGTGGAAGGGACTTCTATTGGGAAGGGACACATGAGAGCTTCTAGGATGGTTGATAAAGTTTTCTTTTTTGGTTACAGAGTGATTATTGCCTTATAATAATTTACTATGCCATTATTTGTTTTCCTTATCTGTTTTGTTTTGTTTTGTTTTTTGTTTTTTTTAAAGCTTAGAAGGTAGAAATTGAATTGATTTTTTGCTCAAAGCCCTACAGATAAAGATCTTCGCCCTGCACTCGCCTGTCTCTGCCCACCTCGCCACTAGGGGAGATGGAGATCTCCCCTGGGCTGTATGCCCTGGAACTCCATCCCTTGTGGGCCGCCTCGCTCATTTTCTTCTGGCCTCTCTTACCATGAACATGACTTGCTCTGGGGAAAACCTTTGTCAATCTGTACCTCTAGATGAGGTCGTTTGCTCTTGTGACACATATCACACTTTCAATTCGTCGTTTAGGTTTTGTCACTCATGCAAGATTGTAATCTCCCTGAGGCCAGGGCTTGTTACCCTTGTATCTCCATTCTCTGGCTGGATTATTCATCAGGTAGATAGATGGTCGAATGAATGAATAACTTTCAAAGTTTTAATTTTAATTCTGTAAGTTGCAAACATTTCAGTTTTATTTAAAATTTTCTTTCATACAAATAATTAAAATATGATATCTATGTACCTTCAGCTCTTTTATGTATTATTAAAGAGGAGAACTTTTTATGTGGAATTTGTTAACATTTTAAAGTAAAGCTTCCCATAAAGTTCTAGGTCAGTTTGAAGGGTGTCACAGAATCACTGAAGCTTTTTGTTCTTTCAGTATTTGTACTTGTGTTTTCATCAGCACCATAAACATGCCAGTCACCCTTGGTAGCAACCTTTACTAATTTGGGCATATATAGAGGCAAATAAAGGAAATACTGTTTATAAGCTCTGGTTTAGAAAAACGCAAGATGTTAATTTTTAAAAAATGATATATATCTCTTTAATATATCCTTAATTCATCTCAATATCATGTATGAGTTATTTACCATCTAGAATGGAGACCAAAGTGAGAACATCAGCTGGGATCCATCACTATAATCATCCATTACAGTGAAAGAGAAGCTGTAAATACCAATGAGGTTATATTGCTAAAATAAGTTCCGAAAGAGTTTCTCTTGACCATTGATTCATTCTGTTGTGCACAAAAAATATTTAACTGCCCTCTCTACTAGGTACATCTCTCACTTCTCTGTGTGAGAAGAACTGGATCCTTTCACCTTTATGTAGGGCTGGCCCGCAGTGAGACTGATTCATGCAGACCTCAGTTCTTAAGGCTGGCAGGGTTTTCAATAGATTCTCTAAGTTCTTATTCATGTTTAGATGTATTCAGTAACTTAGCCTTAGTTGATTTCTCAGGACGTGACACTGATAGTTTTTTCAGGAGACATCATCTTGATGCCCATCTTTTGTCCTTTAGAATATTCCCTACATTTGTCTTTAACTTTCAGGGTATCCCTGGTACTCACTTGCTTTGTAAAACCCTGTGCAGCTGTGCTTATGGTTTTTGACCTTGGTGGGGACTGTGTGGGAACTTTGATACCTCTTTCAGCCCCAGTGTTTATTCTGCCTCATTTGTTCCCTCACACAAAGCTTCAACTTGCTCTTTGAAACTAAACCCTATAATATAATGTAATGTCTCCTGCTTTCTGTATTTCTTAGAACCTTATTGCGGCAAGTCAGATAATGATGAGGTTTATTTTTCTTGTTTATTAAGAGGGATTATATTTTCTTCAATTTTTATACAGCTGAATAGAGGAACCCCATCATATCGGTGTTTATACAATCTAGATAAAGAGAATCTCAGAGATTTCTTAAAATGTATTCCCACAGGTAAAGTTACTAGCCCTTTTCTAATGGGTTTTCTGGCAAATAAAAATTTATGTGCAGAAATGCAGTGGCTATAATTTTATAAATAATTACAGCTCTGAGTTTTTTTATATTGAGTATTTGAAAATTACTTTATGTTTTCTTAAATTTTAGGTCAAGAGACTGAAATCTCATCCCTCCATCATCACGTGGAGTGGAAATAATGAAAATGAAGCAGCGCTGATGATGAATTGGTATAACATAGACGTCAGCCACCTGGATATCTACATCAAAGATTATGTGAGACTGTATGTGGAAAACATCCGAAAGATTGTTTTGGCAGTAAGCAATGGTTTTTAATGCAGTAGAATTTAAGAATCTGTTTTAAAAATGAGTCAGTTTGAATGCTAGTATAGTATATTTTTATGTCCTTTTTTTAGGGTGACCTTCAACAATATTTTAAGGCAGAGTAGCCCATTGTAAAACTGCAGCATGTGAAAGGATTCATGGGTTGTGGATTTCTTTAAGAATTAACATATCTGTGGAACTCGCCACACATACATCAGTATTGTGCTTATAATTGCAGGTTGTCACAAATTCTTTGGAGCCCATCCATGGATCCCGAAAGGCTGAGAATCTTTACATTAGATGATTTATTGATATGCCACTTCTTTTCTGTTTTTCTTCTTTTTAAAAAATATATTGATAGTGAATTGTGTGAAATAATTTGCTCATGACAACCTGGTCCTACTATAAGCTTTACATAGTTAAGAATGCTTTCTTTTTTTACTCTGTGCTAGATTTGATTTGCTAATATTTTAGTTAGAATTAAAAATTCATATTCACAAGTGAAATTGGTCTGTGGTAAGAACACTAAATTTGTTTTTAAAAAAATGGGTAGAGTAGATGAAGCTCACAAAGAGAGAAGAGGGGACTACGGTAATAGGAGAATGGATATTAGGTCTCATAACATTTATAGTGAGCATGTAAAAATGCTATCTAAACATAATTATTGGCAAGACAGATTGGCCTATAGAGCCCGCTTACTGTAGCATTTGGCAGGTGTGTATGTGTTTGTGCTCACCTCACAGAATGAATTAGGAAGCATTTAAAAAATGTCTAGGAAGAATTTAAATAAAATAGATATTATCTGTTTTATTGAGACAAATTCACCCATGAAACAGTCTGGGTCCAGTGCCTTCTTTGGAGGGGCATGCATTTCACCCCCCCACCCATATTTAATTTCTCCTATAGTTATTATCCCATTTGGGTTTACACCTTCTTTGGAACTATGGGTATTTATATTTTCTAGGAACATGTATTTCATTTAGAATTTAAGTTTCAGTGTAGGTAGATGTTTTTATTTAGACTAGATTATGTTAGCTGAGAGCAGCTATGCAGCTTGAGAGATGCCAGGATTGTCAGTGCAAGGAATGTTTGGGTGTGGAAGTCACTTCCCTTCCTCTGCATGTGTGTGTGTGTATTTTTGTTTGTGTGTGTGTCTATTGTGGATGTCTGCAGTTACTCCTGGAAGCAAATACCCAGCCAGAGGATTTCCATAGACAGAGACAAGAAGGGACACGGCTGACTCAGTTGTGCTATAGGTATTTCTTTTCTTCTTCTTCTTTTTTTTTTATAAGAGCACGTTAAAGACTTTTTTTTTCTTTTACTCCCTTTACTCATTCCATCCAACCCCCTGCCCCTACCCCTCACCTCTGGTAAGTATCAATCTGTTCTCTGTATCTATGAGCTTTTTTTTTTTTAGATTCAATATATAAGTGGAAATCCTATGGTATTTGTCTTTTTCTGTCTGACTTATTTCAGTTAATGTAATGCCCACAAGGTCTATCCATGTTACAAATGGCAAGATTTTATTCCTTTTTATGGCTGAATAATATTTCGTCACATATATATATCACATTTTCTTTATCAATTTATTCTTTGATGGACATTTGGGTTGTTTCCATATTTGGCTATTGTAAATAAAATTGTAATGAACATAGAGGTGCATATATTTTTTTCAAGTTAGTGTTTTATTTTTTCGGGTAAATATCTAGAAGTGGGATTGCTGGATCATATGATAGTTTTATTTTTAATTTTTTGAGGTCATGCATACTGTTTTCCATAGTGGCTGTACCAATTTACATTCCTACCAACAGTGTACAAGGATTCCCTTTTCTCCACTTCCTTGCCAGCATTTCTTATCGCTTGTCTTTTTGAAAATAGCCATTCTAACAGGTGTGAGGTGAAATCTCATTGTGCTTTTGATTTGCATATCTCTGATGATTCTATTGTTGAGCACCTTATCGTCTAACTGTTGGCCATCTGTATGTCTTTTGAAAAATGTCTATTCAGATCTTCTGCCCAGTTTTTAATCAGATTGTTTATTTTGCTATTGAGTTGTGCGATTTCTTTATATACTTTGGATATTAACCTCTTATCAGATACTTGATTTCTAAACATTTTCTCCTAATTGGTAGGTTGCTTTTTCATTTTGTTGATGGTTTCCTCTGCTGTGCAGAAGGATTTTAGTTTGATGTACTCTCATGTATTTTTGTTTTTGGTGTCAAATCTAAAAAATCATCGCCAATAGTGATGTCAAGAAACTTACTACCTGTATTTTCTTCTAGGAGTATTATGATTTCAGGTCTTACAAGCCTTAAATCCATTTTGAGTTAATTTTTTGTGTACGGTCTATGGCAGTAGTCCAGTTTCATTTTTTGTGTGTGGCTGTCCAGTTTTCCAACACCATTTATTGAAGAAACCATCCTTTCCCCATTGTATATTCTTGGCTTCTTTGTTGTAAAATAATTGACCATATATATGTGGGTTTATTCCTGGGTTCTCTATTTTGTTTCATTAATCTATATGTCTATTTTTATGTCAATACCGTACTGTGTTAATTATTATAGCTTTGTAATATATATTGAAGTCAGGGAGTATGATGTCTTCAGTTTTGTTCTTTCTCAAAATTTCTTTGGTTATTCAGGGTCTTTTGTGGTTCCATACAAATTTTTAGATTGTTCATTCTATCTCCTTGAAAAATATTATTGGAATTTTGAGAAGGATTGGAGTGAATCAGTAGATTGCTTTGGGTACTATGATCTTTTTAACAATATTAATTCTTCTAGTTCATGAGTACGGAATATCTTTTCATTTATTCATGTCTTCTATAATGTCTGTGTCAATGTCTTATAGTTTTTAGTACACAGGCTTTCACCTCCTTGATTAAATTCATTCCTAGATATTTTATTCTTTTTGATGCAAGTATGAATGGAATTGTTTTCTTAATTTCTCTTTCTGATGATAGTTCATTATTAGTGTATAGAAATGCAACAGGTTCCAGTATACTGACTTTGTATCCTGCAGCTTTACTGAATTTGTTTATTAGTTAGAACAGATTTTTGTGAAGTCTTTAGGGTTTTCTTTATTTAATTGCATGTTATTTACTTCTTCCTTTCCGATGTCTTTTATTTCTTTTCCTTGCCTATTTGCTCTGGCTAGGACTTCCGATACTATGTTAAATAAAGTGGTAAGAGTTGGCATCCTTGTCTTGTTTCTGATCTCAAAGGAAAAGCTTTGAGTTGTGCACTGTAGAGTATGATGTTAGCTATGGGCTTGTCATATATGGCCTTTATTATGTTGAGGTACATTCCTTCTACACCTACTTCGTTGAGTTTTTATCATAACTGGATGCTGAATTTTTTATCATCTTTTGAGATGATCATATGATTTTAATTCTTCATTTTGTTAATGTGATGTAGCATGTTAATTGATTTGTGGATATTGAAACCCTTACATCCCTGGAAAAATCCCAGTTGATCATGGTGTATGATCCTTTTAATGTATATTATTGATTTGGTTTGCTAACATTTTATTGATGATTTTATTTGAGATTTAGCTTGTTTCTTGAGGTAAGCATTTATCACTATGATATTCCTTCTTAGAACTTTTCTGCTGTATTCCATAAGTTTTGGTATGTTGTATTTCCATTTTTCTCAAGTTATTTTTTGATCTCTCTCTCTCTCTCTTTGTTGACTCACTGGCTGTTCAGTAGCCTATTGTTTAATTTCAACATATTTCTCCAGTTTTTTTTCTTGAAATTAATTTCTAATTTCATACCACTGAGGTCAGAAAAGAGGCTTGATATGATTTAAATCTTCTTAAATTTGTTAAGATTTGTCTTAGCATATGATCTGTCCTGGAGAATGTTCCATGTGCACTTGAGAATAATGTGCATTCTGTCGCTTTTGGATGAATGTTCTCTATATATTTGTTAAGTCCATCTTCTTTAATATGTTGTTTAAGGCCAATGTTTCCTTCTAGGTTTTCTATCTGGATCATCTATCTATTGATGTAACTGGGTGTTAAAATCCCCTACTATTATTGTATTGCTGTCTATTCTTCCTTTAGGTCTGTTGATATTTGCTTTGTATTTTTAATTGCTTCTATTTTAAATGCATAAATATTTGTAAATGTTACATTCTCTTGTTGGATTAACCCCTTTGTCATTAATGTCAAGGTAATGCCCTTGTTATCTCTTATTATAGTCTTGGTTTTAAAGTTTGTTTTGTCTGATATATAAGTATAAATATACCTACTTTATTTTGGATTCCATTTGCATGGAATATCTTTTTCTATCCCTTCAGTTTCAGTTCGTGTGGTATGCCACTTCTAAAATTTTGTAAGTAAATAATAAAGTAGAATTTGATATATATCATATGTGAATATGTTGGTATGTGATATAAGGGGAAATGGAGAGGAAAAAGGTGGTTCTCAAATTCATTTTAGGCGGTTCTCTTGCACTACTCCTTGTTTAATAGGCATACTATACTTGTATTTATTACATGCATACATAATATGTCTTAATACAAATTGGCCTTTTTTTGTAGAGAAAGAAGGCAGCATTTTTTTGTTTTTCAAGTATTGCCTTCAAAATTTTACCTTTTTAAAAACTTATGTTTAACATGTGATATAATAATCTGATTGTATTTACAGTTTTTATCTGTATTAGATGTTTTAAATATTTGGCTATATCTTGAAACAGTTTGAAACAAGACATATTTAAAGGAACAGTATGTAATTTTGGTACCTAAATATGCCAAGTTGATGGCACTATTTTATTTGTGTGAAGAAATTTCAGTGAGAATTCATGAAAAACACAGGTTTAAATTTTTAGCTTATCTGATATGCTAAGCCATGTGTCATGAATGAAGAAGTTTTCTATTCACAAAATGCAATGGTTTAAGCTTTATAGAACATTTCTTTTATAATCTTTTTACTCATGGTATTAATATTACATTTTTCATATTTGATGGGTTTAAGAAATGGATTTTAATATCTGAGGATTGTCGTTTCATAGCTTAGTCATTAGGAGCTCATGACTCCAAGTCCACTACATGTCTATGTAATCTTAGGCAGGTTACTTGATCGCTGTTTTACCATTTATAAAATTGGGTTAGCGATAGCAACTGACTCTTAAGAGTTGTTATGTGGATCAAGTGAGATAATGGATGCAAGGTGTATTACACAGACTTTGGCACACGGTAGACTTTTAGTTAATGCTAATCATCGTTATCATCATTTATGGGTTTCACTCGTCAAGATAGATCTTCGGAGTCTTACAAAGTTTAATCTCTGATTTAAACACTACATTGTTGAACTTAAAAAAAAAATTATGTCCTATGTGCCACTTCTTCTCCACCTTTAAATAGAAATATGGTGCCTTTCTCATAAGGGATATATATATTTTAAATTAATTTTCTGAGCAATAATTGATGGTTGCCAATTTCTTTAAAGATGGGCAGGATTAAGTATTATATAATCATACCATTGTTATTTGTATAAAAGCATAAAATATTTAAGGAAAAGGACTATAAATGAATCCATCCGTACAGTAATTGTAATCATTAGTTTCCTATTGTACATCATGCTTTAAAAAATATTTTTTTAAATTTTCAATTATAGTTAACATTCAATATTATTAGTTTCAAGTATAACACCTTGCTTTTAAAAAGTAGTCATTCTCTTGGTCTATCTTATGGTGTCTCTTGGTCTGAATAAGCATTTAAGGTTTTGACCTAGAAGGAGGTCATTTTTTGATTTGAGACTAAAAATCAAGCCTCAAGAAGAAATGATACAGAAATGGAGAGAAATCATAGTGCATTATCAGGGGTGGATATTTTTAGGCAGAGACTCATTAGTAATTTTACTGACTGGCTCAGCTTATCAAATTGTTCAAGAATCTAGAGGAATGGAAGGAAATCAGTCAAGCATTGTTGATTAAAACCAATTGACTGGCCTTCTCCAGTTTTACTTCAAAGCCATTATAACAGAATATCGTTTAAAATTTAAGGGTACTCACAACCTTACCATGCTTTTTAGTGTTTTAAAATGCAACCAACATCTGCTGAGTACCTATTACCAAGAGCAAAGCCTCATTCCCAATGCTGTGGGGAAATTGTTATCCTTATGGGGCTTATATTCTGCTCTCAGGGAAAAGCATGGGAAGAGTTACTAGTTCTACTGGGCAGAGTGAAAGAAATGCTATCAGAAATGTAATTCTCAAATGGTGGGAAATATGTGGACGAACCATTACTTTTACAAAGAAGGATCTGAGAAAGCTTTCATGTAAAAGGTGACTTTCAAACCAAGCCTTAAAGGTGTAGTAGAATTTGAGACAAAAGATTGTTCAGTAGGTATTTTAGGCCATGCAAACAATGTGAATAAAGATAAAAAGACGTGGAAGTATGTGTTTGTATAGGAAGCAGCAAGCATAGCCTAGTGCTTGAAGCAAAGGACTCCTGGATTGGCATTGGAAAGTCAAATATAGAAAAGGTTGTTTAAAAACAAATCTTAAAAGGACTTCAAATCCTGTTATGGAGTTAGGCTTCATTCAGAAACAGTGAGAAATGGTGAATATTTTGGGTGAGAGGAAGAACTTTATCTGACCCATGTTCTGGAAGGTAACTTTGCTAGCAAAGAAGAAGGGAGATGAGAGAGTTTAGGCAAGGAAACCAGTTATGAAAACTTGGAATTCCAAGTTATTGAGAATATTAGATGCCAAGCATTGATATATTAATTATGATTGTTATTAATTATTATTATAACCTATTAATGATATAAGTGTTTTGTAGAATTTAATTTTTCCAACTACTCAGGAATGTAATAATATAACCTTGTTTTAGAGATGAAGACATTGAAGGGTTAGAATGATAAATTGCTCAATAAATTGATCATAGGTAGTGGAGTCCAAAGTAGTGAGGCTGGATGTGAGGTGGAAAAAAATATTTGAATTCAGAATGACTGAATGTGGGCAGTGAAAGAGAGAGGAAAAACTGAAGATGACTCTTACTTGGATACCCTTAATGAAGGTAGGAAGCACAAATAAGTTTGGGGTTAGTAAACAAAGAATTCTGCTTTGAAGAGTTGAATTTGAGATGTTGGCAGGACAAACCGGGCGGAAGTGTGGAGCTGGTTACTGAGAATAGAAGTGTGGAGGTGAAGTAGTCTGGTAGTAACTGGCGAAAGCAGAAGGGAAAGGGTAGAGGTAAGGAGAGGCTGAGGAGAGAGCAGTATCCATCTGAGAAGGGGAGGTGAGATGGAGAAGGAAGAATCAGAAAGGTCTGGGGAAACCAGAATATGAAAGAGTAGTGGACCAGCCCCCAGGAGTGGAGAGAACATCAGAAATAGTGGATATAAATAGGTCACTTACTGCACACCAGAGAGGGAATAGTGTGGGGACTTTTTGTTTATTTGGTAAGTTGACGTCTGTGGGTAATTTTTGAAAAGCAACAAAAACAATTTCAGTTGAGTGGGCTGATCAGGAACTGAATATCAGGGGCTGAGGAGTGAGTGGGTGGTAAAGAAATCTGGTGGACTGCAAGGGACCAAGGGAATTTTTTATTAGGATGAGGGGAGTTCTTAGGCTGAGGAAATAGGGCAATAGAGAGAGATTATTGATTTTTAAAGAGTGGAAGACAAGTTATTGGCTATAGTTCTAGGGTAAACTAAAACAATGACCAGAAGACAGACAGGCTGGCAAAGGATAGGAGTAAGGATTTTTTTTTTTCTTTTGACAGAAGAGAAACAAGAAAAAATGGTTGAATATACCAAAAAAATTGAGACCTAATGGAGAAAAGTTGTGAAAATTATTTTCTGATAACCTATTTCTGAGGGATGCCTTCCTTAGTGGCCTTCTATAATATGTTTTATATTTCCAAAGAGCCCTGTATTTTTCCTTTAAAACATTCATCATACTTGTCACACTTGTTCAGCATCTGGTTTCATCAGTAGATTTTGATCTGCTCTTTTAAGAGGTCAGTCGGATGTCTGTTCCCTGC